AACGCCCTTCGATTCCAAGTAGGCGAGAGTTTTTCCAACGCCTTCGATTCCACGTGCTGGCACCCCCTGTAGCAGTACGAAGTTTCCAAGATGGTACGGGCGACGACACAAAGGCAAAATATCTCCTCGAGTGCTCATTGTAACAGTCAGCACTCACTTTCAGTCCGGGGTACACGAAGAAAATATTGGTCCTTCCATCCCAGGAGAGAATATCATTCCTTTCAAGCCCAGGCATTTTCGATCCTTACCCTCAACGCGTCTTGGCGACTGCAGGAAGATGATAGGCCGTAGCGACGTTGTCGGAGCTGCTCGATGCTGGAGGTCTTCCAGATCAAGAGCGCCGGTCCCCAGGTAGCTGCACATGGGCGACTCCAAACAAGTTTCGTGGCTGTTTGGAGGTGACGTGAATTCCAGCTCCAGCTGAGATTGGAGATGGTTATATTTGGTTTACATGAAAGGTGATGGACGAGAGTCTGCTCCTGCTTACCGAGGAACATGTTGGGTATCTTCTGTACTGGTACTCATATCCACGTCTTTTGTCTGGGCTGCGTAATCTTTACTGATATGTGACTTAGCCAAGCTGTCTTTTTGCCCCCCCCACGCCACCTCTTCCCTGCCCACATATTGCATACTTCTCAGAGCGTCGGAGGAGCTTAGGCTACACGGAATGGCGCATATTTGCTGCTTCGCAGGCGAACAACCGCTCGTGGATTGCTTGCAAATTTGAACCGTTGTACGGAACGACCGTACCCCACAGCGTGACTTTTTTCATAAAACCATGGATATTTTATAACTTTCAATGACTATCGATTGGTTGTCTATTGTCGAAACACGAAAATAATCGATATCACACAAGCTCAAGCTCTTAGCCAACAGAAAAAGCTAAAACGCGTTTGTGTTAAATTGTTTGGTAATTTGACGACAGTCGCGGCGGTCAAAAGGGCAAAGCAGTGTCTCATGCTGCCAAACAGACTACGACCTCAATTATGATGAACTCCTGTACGTACTCCATGCACGAGGCGAGAATGAGTCTCAACGTCGAGTTAGCCCATTTCCGTCACCCACGTACCAGCAACAATTTACGAGGAGGGTGAGGTGAGCATTCCTTCATGGACCTGTGGGATCTCCTCAGAGAAGTCTTGAGTACCTTCCCAATAGGACATCAATTGTTAAAAGTTTGACGTGACTAGTGTCTTCAAAGTCGTAAGAGCCGTAGATAGCTTTCAGTGCTGGCTCGCGGGGCTGTAGATGGACAGATATACACTAAGAATGCGCAGAATTCACATGTGAATAAAGAGATGCCGCCTGAGGAGATGCTCCGCTGGAAGAGCATCCCGGGTAACTACCGACCATTCTACTTTGGCAGCATCCACCAGCGACCAATGACGCCCACCAGCGTTTCGAGGCCCGGCAGCGTCAGCGACTAGGAAAGTATAGAAATCGATCCAGCGCCTGCCAGCGTCCACTAGCGACCAGTAGCATCTGGGATTGAAAAGTATGGTGCGATAGGAGGGTGGCAGACAGCTGGTAGAGTTAGGGAGATAGGAGGGCTACGGCAGACTGCTGTAGACTGAGTATGACGCTAGTAGATGGGTTTGCAAGAGCGAATGTTAACCTCCAATCGCCCGCATACACGTCTTACAGTCTGTCTGCTGGTTGCTTAGTCGGACGCTGGAACGCTTAGATAGATAACTATACTCTGCCAGGTATGCAGCGTAAGACCGACGTCTAGGTAGGGGGAGTTTTTTCCTCCATCGAGACGCTCTGGTCTGTGGTGGAACGCCGCCGTATGGTGGACGTGGAAAACCTGGCAGATGCTAGAATCGATATCCATACTTCTTAGAACAGCTGGTCGCGCGGACGCTCGCAATGATGGGGACGCAGCCCAGCAAATATGACGCACAGCACAGCACTATAATACCCAGTGAAGCCTAGCCAGCAGCAGAACCTTTACTGCGCCCGGACGTCCGTACAGACAGCTCTACATCACGAGAACAGTGTCTAAGGGGTTTTCAACTTACTTCGGATTATCTTTCTATAATCTCATAATGTCCTTCTACCAAAGTCTCCATCTTACACAATGTTGCGATGCTGGGCGAGCTATTTCCTTTCATTTTCCTTCCAAGAGGCGGCTTCCGTTGTAGAGAAGAAGTGCTACACTAACTGCGACACTAACTTCTAAATAACTGTAACTCGATCGAAGACGCAGTAATCCTTCAGCAGATATTCCAGCTATCGATAGGAAGACTTGGCCTGCGCCGTACATGCCTTGTGTTTCCATGGCGAAACCGACTACCCAGGCCACTGCCCCCGACCTGTCCATCATGACCAACGGTAAAAGCCATCAAACACTCGCACTCGAGTATCCGCTGCGTGTTGTTTAAACGATTCAACGCTTGTAATACCCCCGTGAAACTACAGGCGGACAATAATAGCTGAAATAAGAGGAAGCAGGGCTTTGAGGCGACTTGCAGAACACGTACACAGCAACGCTACTATTATTACGCGGCACACGATTACCTATCCGATCAATCGGCTGACAACGAATTTTTAAGGTCGAGAAAGAGGCCAGCGAAAAGTCTCTCGGCATATTTTCCTTGCTTCCCACGCGAAAATTTTATGTAAGAAAACAAGCCACAGGAAGAACAAATGACGTTCACAGGAGGTATTTTCATGGTTGTATGGAGGTAATGCGGTGTTAGCATAATCGCATGTCGGGGACGGAGTCTCGGATCGGTTTCTGTCGAGCTACTTGAGCTTAAAACTCCGCGCGGTAGTAAACGGCATCAAAGTTGTGACTGGATGGTTCCAAATTGGCTCGGAATCACAAAAAAGCTCGCTCCCCATGAGTTGCCTTCCTTTTCCGCTACGTGCAAGGATGCAGTTCTTCAAATTGCTTGTAAAAACCATTGCCGAATTCTAAGAAGAATATCTGTTACAGTCCGAAAAAAGGTTCAAAGTGCGGAGACTTTGTCGTTCAAGCAAAAGGGCTATTGTATCAAATCGCGCCAAGATCATGTCAGTCCGATGATGGTCATTTGCTTCACTAGCGGTCAAAAGCAGAACAGAAAAATATCGTTCAGAAAAGGTGGCTAGAATCTACCGTACCTCTCGCTGCTTAAACGGATTTAGTGCCTGTAAAAAACGCCCTGAAAACGAGCAGATAGATGTACACAACAGAGACGGAGGTGTCCTTCACAGAGAACAGGATCACCGACAGAATTCCGACACAAAGCAGAGTGAAAAAAAGCATGCTCAACAGACTTACTGATTTCTGCTTCGTTTTCTTTCGTCGTAACGACCGACTACGAACGGCAGTTAGCAGCCGACCAACAGCACCTTCAACGGTCTTCACGCTTTCCACACGGGATACCGCTATCAATGGCACTTTCATATCCTCAGATGACTCCACCATGGTGGTTGGCGCACAGGAAGACTCCACCATAGTGGTTGGTGCACAGGAAGATGTGCTTTGGACCTGAAAGTGCACAAATAATTTGCTGGAATACAAAAGGTTCACAAAGCCAATCCTTCCCTAGGACGTTAGCCCCGATACCATCGCTGGTCCTGTTCGTCTCACGGATGCAAGGGATGTATATTACTTGAGTAAAAAGTGAATGTCCACTTCAATTTACAACGTTCGTGGGGCAGGTCGAGGTCTAATGGTAGTCGGAGCATAGCGACAACTAATAGCAGTGAGGTCTTGGAATGAAGAAAGTAGCCTTCTGCGTTTTTCGCGTGAGGGCAGGGCACGGGGAAGACCCTCTCCCTCTACGAGCAGGTAGTTTGGCGCACAGTGACAGCGATTGTACCACTTTTTCTGCGCAAAGCTTAGTGACGAGAGCGCTCATGTCGCCGTTCCTCTCATTTATCCCGGCCAGCGCTCTACCCAGCTATGATAAGCGAAACAGCCAAGGAACCATAGGTAGGGACATTGTTGTTATTGAGAAATCAGCTGGGATCCACTCCTTGGAACTTATCGACCACCACTGTCAGTTGATCTCGTCCAACTATATTTCAGCGCCTTTCACCCAATCTCACCCGAAATGTCTGGTTCTGGGTGTCCTTTGAAAATCAAAAGTTATTTTAACTGGCCCTCCGGAAATAGGAACCCATTCAGGAGACTGATATGACAATCAAGCCTCACACAGGTCACGCTGGTTTTCCGAGCGGGTCCACGCTTATGAGCGCGTCTCCCTCATCGGAACACCTCTCCTTTGGGTAGTATACGGCCGAGAGCGCAATGAAAAAGGTACGGTCAATAATGGAGGGCGAAAAAAGGCATTTTTAGGTTTGCCTTGCGACCGCTGCGTATTCCCGCGCCAACTCTTATCGCTTTTCTTCTGCCGGGATCCTCGATAGGGGTCCTTGGGAACGCCCATTCTTGATCTCAGATATGGACTGTAGGGTTTTGGACCATCCTTCACCATCCGGCTCACGCGATCGCGCGTGTGTGGTTTTACGAACAATAGGCTCAAGAATGATGAGTGTAAATTCTCTTTACGCATTTCTGCCCTGTTCACCCTGACACCCGACGGCGAAAAGAATGAAATACATCGCCTAAGGTAACGCCGAGCTCTTATTCCTAGACCAGTTAACCAATTGTCGCTGATTTTACCTCTATGAGAAGAATAAATTCCCTTTGCTTACTTCAGACTGTTTGGTAATCTGTCACTTTACTGGCATTCGTGCAAATTGTAGCTCCTGACGATGATCATGTGGTGTGTTTCCTGAGGTTTCCCCTAGGCTCTCTGGTTCTAACCGAAGCTTGGGATTTGTGTTGCAAGATTTCGCCGACATGGTTCGGTTCTACCGAAGTGGGATTTGTTGGTTGCTGAGATCTTACGCAAGACCATGGCTGTACTTCCTGTTAGTGACCTGCTCCTCCACCTTTGCTTCATCTTCTACTGTGATATCTGCTTCTAATGTGGCCTCTTCTTTGATGTCTGGTTGCGATGTCACCACCTCATTGAGCAGCGTCTCTATTTGAGATTCCGCAGCTACTTTCTTGGTCTCGCCACCGTCTCCTTACAGATCGTAGGGCCGCTGAGATCGTCGTGTCCAACTAAAGATGAAACGCTGTCGGCATCGATGTACGGAAAGGTGAGATCTGCTCTGAAATGGATATGAATGACATTCATTCACTTTCATCATTTATTTGTTTTGACTTTAACTGCTCCTTGTTGTGATGGCCACATTTGAGTCGCGATGTCTAATGAGAGGAAGCAATGCACACTGGAGCTACTTTTTAAATGAATTTATATATTGGGTGAGAGTGAGCTCAGGCAAAATTAGCCCCTTCGAAGCCCAAACTGGAACACTCTAACTATCATTTATCCACGTCCAGGCAACAGCATGCATTTGGCAGCGCTGAAAAAAGTGGTCAATAACAAAAATTTTTTTTTTTTTTGACGCTTCAATGAAATCATATCTTCTGACACAGAGTTCAAGCGCCTTTTCTACTATTGGTACACTCACTGCGTGTTCTCATGCTGACTCTCTTCTTCTGCACATGCGTCTCTACCTCTATTCCGTCTAGATTCTCATAGACGCTGCCGCGCTTGATCGACTTCATACTGAAACCCCCCTCCCCCTTTATTGTCTGCGATTATGGACTGTAGTTCTGTTGAGGGAAGGAGAATGAAAATCCGTTCTAGGCATTGGGCGTCACGAAAGATTGTTTCTGCGCATGAATCATCGTGACTTGTTTTGATATTTAACCACCACGATGAAAACAATCGTGATCGAAAAAAAGCGTATTTTCAAACAAAGCGCTAGAAGAATGAGTTCCTAGAAAGGAGTGGTCTAAAACATTATTTCAAAACTTCCTGTCCACGCCACGGCTCGAAACTCTTGAATCTCACGCTTCTCGGGGGAAAGGGGCAACCGTGATCAGATACAGCTTTCTCACACAATTACAATTATAAATTTGTAATTTCGCAATTTGAATATAGCTACAGAGCTTTGGAAAAGGCTAAAAAACATGGAGGTCCTGCCTACCTGTAATGTTCTGCGTCGTCCAAACCAGATGTCTGTGAAGGCTCTGGACTAACACACGGTGCTGTGCTCTCTCGCTCGATTATCGACGATGGTTTCTGGTAGTAGAACGGATTTGTAGATAGCACATCGGATATAGCTGCGCCGTGTTCGTACTCTGACCCTAATGGTTCCTCAGCCTTCATGGACTCCATGAGAATCTCGTATGCCACAGGCTCCGGTTCAGACGGAGTTGATACAGATGACAGTCTCTCTTCCTCAGCATGCTCATCTTCTATGTGGTCTGAACGGCTGTGATAAGACAGGCTACGGTTGGAACGGCTGTGGCTCGATAAACTGTGAATAGAATGGCTGCGGTCAGAGGGCACATGGACAGACTGGCTATGCTCCGAATGGCTGTGGTACGACTGACTACGATTAGAAAGGCTGTAATCTGAGTGGCTGCGGTTGGAATGGCTCTTGTCGGATTGAGCAGATGAGCAATGAGATGCAGGTGCCACGCATACGACAATGTCGTCCACCTCCTCTTCTCGGGCTGGATCCTCGAAGATCGTAGGGTCGCATACAATGGGGTCCGGATCGGAAACATCCAAATCAAACGCCAGCGCTTCCGACGCTAACGGATCTGTTTGTGGTTGTTCTGTTGAAGAAGGCACAGGTGCAGGCGGGGTTGTGCTGAAATCAGAAACATTACGATGGGCAAAGGAATTGTTCTGAAAGAAGTCCTGTTTAGAACTTTTGACTCTCTGCTGTATGCTCTTAGAAGAAACTGTAAATTGAACGTACTTATAGGTCGGTGAACAGTTATTCGGGCAGTGGTTTACATAGTTGTTATGTATCGTAATGGTGTTTCGAACGACTGGCTGATGTACTGCACTCGATTCTTGAGCGGATGACGCGGGCGGTCCTTTGCAGCACCTGAGAGAATTATTTTCTTGATATAGGCGAACTCGACACCTTAAATTCAAATTATGAAGCACTAAGACAGAATAATAATAAACGCAGTGTTTATTACCGGGGAGGCTCTTTTCTTGCGCCACTGATCTGACTTCTGTTCATGGTAGGCATGAGCAAGACTAACAGAGGCACAGTCTACGCTGGCTGTATGAGCATGATGAGTGTGGACTATGCGCATAACGGCACTGCAGGTAGCGGCACGCAGGTACCGGCACGCGTATGGGCCCGCAGCTGCAGCAGCGTGCCACTTTCCCTTCACAAAAGTGCACGGGAACAGGACCGGGAGCTAGCTATGCCCAAATACAGTCCCAGACCCCGCCCGCCCAAGCACACGTCATGGCCGGACTCCTAAGGACGCTATCTGGCTGCTTCTGGCTACCGTCTACCAGTGTGCTTCTGCTTTGGTATCGATACAAATTCTGCATATTGAGGAAAGTGCGGGCCGAAAATGGAGACACCACTCAGGTACTACAGCCTCGTGCACTTCCTGAGCGGAGGAATTGGCACGCTAATTGCAGCGGGCGCTAACGCATTTTCCCCACACGGCAAGGACGCACGGACCCGAGATGAGGGTACCAGGTTTATCTTGAAGAAAGACAACCGTTATGGAAGCAGGGCAAGGAGCGACCGAGGAATACTGAAGGAGGCACAGCTCTATTCGGATGACTGGAGCGAAAGGGGTGTCATTTGTCTAGCGGGAAACGTCCACAGTTATGTGAAAGGGTGTCGCCCTCGCAGGAGAGGATAGTTTTTTGCACTTCTAGTGTAGTGATATCACCCTCAACGCTAGTCGACGGACTTTTCCCTGAAAAATCGGATGAAAGATCACGTGGTCAGGCACAGTTGAACTGTGGGTTGAAGAGGATTTGCGATTAAAATCTTGAGTCGCGAATGCGGCGCCACCTGATACGGTCTTACAGCTGCTTCTCCTGCCCCGCTGAGCTGCCACATTCTGTTCGAACAGTGTAGAAATTCAGCCATTGATGGAAATGGGCTGGCACCGCGCCAAAATGTATGCGCCTAGGGTTGCCTCCACCCGACGCTGCGATAGGCATGTATTTCACAGACAGCGCAGCTTGTTCTATTTCAAGCGCCAATCACACCTATGAAGGGAAGTCGTAGCAGTTAATTTTTTGATACTTTTAAAAACTAAAATCACATAGTTGACTCGAAGTAGCGTCCTTGCTTGAGATCTAGAAAATATCATCATTCTATAATCTATAGTCTAATAATTCTAGTGGTAAACTTTCTTGTGGGAAGGCGAACTTTATTTCTCGACACTAACATTCGTTCCTAAACTCACTTAGTCAAATCGAATCTAACCATAAGTGAGCTGTCATTGTGCATGATAAGCTTGACTATTGCCTCTATGAATAACAATATTAAGCTAGCACCCCTTTTGGCGTCAGCGCGAATGCGGATTTGATTGAATTTTCCGACGCTGCTGCTGACGTGCTTGACGCCTTAGATAAGAGGAGAAGGCGGCGGCAATCACGTACTACTTCAGAGCTTTGAAGAAGCCTCAATTTGGAATTTAAGTGAAAATATGTGCGGTTGTTTGTTTACAAATGCCTTAGTGAACACATAGTGAAGCATCCCTCACACGGTTCACGAAATCGAAACTTATGCGCTCCCTCCAAGCAGAACATCCAGTGACTCAGTTGCCACATAAAACGTTAAGAGAAACAAACGTAATGTGAATTCATGTCATTGTAGTGTGAACTACAGTAGCGAAAAACCTGAAACAAAGCGCGAATCGCACTTTCTGAGAGCTATGTACGCTGAACTTCTTTTGATATGTGCACGGAGATACTGTTTTTAAAGACAGACTATCCCAGGAAATGCCCATTATTGCCTGCCTATTATTTGCTGGTGCATTGGCTCGAAATCAATAATTACATTGAAATTAGTAACAGAGGCACTTTCTTGATTTCTTACTAGGTTCTTTTTTCGGCGATGTCTCCTCTCTGCCGCGATTCTGCAATTTTCCGCCAACTAGTCACAGATCTCTTCAGAGAGCTTCTGCTTCTTCGTCAGAGAGAATAGCTAGGTTCACCATCATATTGAAGAGAAGGAGTACAGGGTGCACCCAGGATTTCGATGGCATGTGGAAAACACCTTTTAAAATCCTTGATATGATTCAAAGAGGGCAGCCCATTCAAAGAGTATGCTCAGACATAATAAAATGCTAGTTAGTCCTTCTGTTTTGGTAACTGCTGTTTAACGCTCTTCAAAAATTACTACAAGTTGCCGAGTTCTGGGCAAGTCTTGACCCAGGTGGTTCGTAGTAACTTTCGGTGGTGCATTAAACAGCAGTTATCGCGATTAAAGTGCTTCAAAAACTTCTAAAGTCCTCAGCCTCGAGGTGTATTGCCGATATCAGATGGTACAGCTGCTGGCTCAGCATGTTGAACATGTGAGTGCCACAAAGCTAAGGCATAAAAGCCGTCAAGCTGAGCTATAAGAGCGGTCGTGGTGGTGTTATGAGTACCGCGCTCGCCCGGAATGCGTGAGATGCGGGTTCGGGGAGACCACAGGAAAAGCCAAGACATCCACAGTTTATATTAGTTTGCAGGTAGAATCAACTCGATGGGAAAAATAGCAAGTGTCTTCATCGAAGCCGACGCTACAAACCAACGCTTTCATTGAGAAAAAAATTTGAAAGCATTCTATGGGCTCATTGGATCACTCCACTCAAGAGACCCACAAAAACATCAGTCAATATTCTGCTACAGTACATGAAAGCAAAGCTGCGGTCCAAAGACACTGAGCGACTATCTTACTTCATCGAACACGACAAATGGCTCTCCTCCAGCTCTGAAATCCTTAACCGACTCGTCTGTAGTAGTTCAGAAGGAACCAAGCTAACAGATGCCTCAATCTGGACTATCTCGAATTAGCGCTTCAGGAATCCTGAGACAAATTTCGTTATCGACACCCATTACCAATACCGAATGAGAGAAATCGTCAGACTTATAAGGAGTTTTGTGAAGGCTGGAGATGACAGTTTGTGAAGCTGTTAATAATACTTCTAGATCGTCATCGAAGTAAAGAGGATAAAGTGTTCGCCGCTAAACAATCCTTCCGGCACGCATCCTGGAGGGTAGCAAGCTCGGTTGGCTTAGGTAGGAGCCGATCCAGGATCTGACCTCTGGATCGCGCGCGTAGTGAGGGTGTCATTTATCTCTACCACCTCCGCCTTCAGAATGTCATATTTGTAACGAATAGCATTTTCAACCAGACTTGCTGTTCCGAAATACCATCGAGATACTGGTGAGTAAACCTGAAATTTTGCCCAAAACGCTCCATTTACAGCACCCTCCTCTATTCATGCATTCCCTTTTCTGATGGTTCATTGTAAAACTTCCTTCAAGCAGTGCTGAACTAATCAGAAGTGACGTAGTGTTTCCGCGCGGCGTCGAATCGGATTGTCCCGAGTAATAGTTCCGATGCCGCGTCTTCACAGCCACAATTGAATTTGTTCTACGACGACCTGCTATGACGTATGGAAAACGCGTGTTACATTAACGTAGTACATGCGTTTGCCACACGTCATGGCTCTCCCTCTCTCAATGAGAAAGGAGATGAAAATTAGCTATGATGCTGCCTGAATGTCCTGTGCCATTGTTGCTGAACTCCCAGAGACGGAATCAGCAAAACTCTTCAACGGTGGGAGCACAGTGAGTGAAAGCGGAGAATGATTCTTTCCTTGCGAGATGAGGGTTTGTTTGTAGCTGCAGCCCCTTCCTCCGCCGCAAGATGCACGGAAAAAGAGGTGGGGGGAGGGTCGCGACGTGCGGAGTAACGTATCCCGATCCCGCTGCCACGATCACGCTGCCTTCAAGGTCGAAACACAGCGGTAGAGAACAACCAGAAGTGAGAGGAGCGTAGGTAAGCGCGTTTGACTATGGTTAGGCGAGCGGATGGCTGTGCCGCAGCGTGAGCAGAGTACGGGGACAGCACGAGGGCCGTTACCGAGGTTTTTGACCGGAGTGAAGAAGCGCGTGAGCAGAACTGGCAGTGCCATACTGGAGGTGAAGAGTCTATGATTCTGTGCATGAAGCGAAAAACGCTCTGCGCAAGGGGGGGGGGTCTGCACCAGAGTGAATTTGCAAGTTCCCAAACCTGTGTATAGAGTCCTATGAATGCCTCCTAAGAGGCTTGCCTCAATAGGTAAATTTATTTACGCGTCGGCTGACCTCGATGTAATCGCAAGCACCTTGGATTGGAAACAGGGCACGTCCTACGTCGGGAAATCCCAGGAGCGGGGGCCGTATTTGGTATGGAAAAAATTGATAGTAGGTTTTCCCTGTCTCACGGGCCCTATCTCACATCGTTGGGAGAATTTTGGCGAGGGGCTCGTAATTGCTCATCGTTGGTGAGGGGGGAGGGGACATCTTGGCCAAACGCAAAAGTTGTTCCGGTTTTTGACTTTTCGCAGCCTTTCCCCGTTCTATCCAAAAAGGTCGGAGGAATGACAAATTTACCAAGATAGAAGGTAGGATGGAGAAGAGGAGGGGATCGTAGCCGAGAAAAAAAATTGGGGATCATATTTTCCGCAAATTTTCCCCAGCGGCAGGACGTGCTCTGATTGGAAAAGTAACGCTATTCTTGATGACAGCAAATCCACCTTGAGGATGACCAGTATGGTCGCGCTCACCGATGCTCGGTGGGTTACACTTCTACGAAATTCAAAGTTTCGCAGCTGGTCCCGGAGAGAGAGTTTCAACTCAAAATGTTCGCAAGTAGTCGGCACATTCATTGCCAGAGGTCTCCAGCGGTTCGCGTTCAACTTGACATACGACCGCTGAGATGAAAAGACGAATGACGGAGCGTTGTGGATGGAATCCGAGTCATGTCCCTTGAGGCAACGAATCAACAAAGATATTTGAGTAGCTGAACCGACATGCTCAGACACTAGAGAGTTTGAAAAATATCGGTTTGAAATACCAAGTGATATCAAGAAGCTGCACCCACAACAGATGGGCTATCCGAGCC